TTTGGAAGTCTTCCCGTCCTCCCACCTTCTTCTGTTCTCATATTGGTATCTCACCATACCCTCAGAGGGCGTCAACGGTTTTCCCTCTCTCTCACAGTGACATCTCACACCTATCCCCTGAATGGGTGCCAGCAGGCCTCTCCTCCTGCCTCACATGATCACCTCCGCTTGGCTCTCGTTAACATTCAGCCAATGGGCGCTCAGCAGTGTGGGTGTGGCCAGACTAGCCTTGTTTTTAAAAAAAATCTTGCTCAAAGAAAAAAAAAATTATCTTTTTCTTTTCCTTTTCTCTTTTTTCTTTTTTTTCTTTTTCTTTTCTTTCGTAGTGTGGTCCCTTAATCGCAGTTCTTATCCTCAATGTCACCTGGAATATATCACCCGGGGCCTTTGCCAAACAAGTGGGTGGTCAATTAGAAGCATTTTGCATTCTTGGTGCCAATTTCTGATCCGATAAAATAGTTTTGCTGTCACAGCCAAATTTCAACACAAAACAGATGCCTTGTCCAAATGATATCTTCCCATCGACAAAGGCTTAACCTATGGTTTGGTCTTTTGTTTTTTTTTCAACTCTTGTGTGGTCAACGGACATTTTTGTTTCTCGGTCAGCAGATGACCTATTTAATTTTTATCTCTTTAGAATTCTGTGGAAGTTCCAAATGGCATTCCCGTGACACAGTTAAATGTTTATCTATTTAGAATTTTGTCTCTGAGGTTATTTGGCCAACCTGGTACTTCCACCCGACCCGTAACCTAAATCAGATTAATTCCAGTGTCTTCTTTTTTTTTTCTCGACAATAGGAAATAAACATTTTACCACTTTTCCTTGTCAGAAAAATAACACCGCTTAGTGTCCTTTTCGTGATGGCTTTTTATCATCTAAATTTAATTCTCGCCTTTCTTTTTCTTTCTTTCCTTTTTCTTTTCTCCTTCTAGCAACCATAAATGGTGTCACAGAATCGTTTATTCTGAGATTCGCGTGTTGAGCGAGGCTGGAATTCAACTGAACATCTTTCTATTGTTTTAAGAAAAAAAGGTTTCAACACGATATTACCACTGTTGGATAAGGTGATGTTGATAGTGGGAGCGAGATTATTTACTTATAGGGCCTTCTCACATCGAGATGTCTCCGCAAATTTGATTTATATAGAATTTTTGTGTTTTCGACTACAACTTCCCTTATGGGATCTTGTAAATCGTGAGTGACTACATGTTTTTTTTAAGGTACTTTGATCTAATAATTGACATGTGAGGCATCTACGCAAGGAGGTAGTAGTATGTCCGATATAGGCAACTGATTTATGATAATTGATTTATGTTCATATTTGCAGCTAGCTTTTAGAAGGCCACGAATTTTACTTCAAAGACGGATCCAAATTAAAAATTAAAAATGATTTCTCGTACAACTTAGAATTTACTATACATAATAACACGCAAATGTTGCCACGAACTTTGCATTGGCCAAACCATTCAATCACTCTGACAAGGGTCGGCAGTTCATCACCAGCAAATTAGGGATCCCCACACTAGAAAAATACCCCTTACCCAACATATAGAGGAATGTGGAGAACGAAATCTGCCAAATTGTCTTCCCATTCTACCAATGCGACTACAAAACCATCGAAGAAAAGCGTATTAATAAGGAAACATTTTTATCAGCCAGTTCCAACCAATATTTACTTCATTGCATAAACTAGAGGCACATCCCACAAAATAAATTCTATCATATTTTTCTTACGATAAGCGACATATAAAACCAGCTACGCCCCTTGATTTTTCATTTGTTTTGCTCAAGGCATAATCATCAACACATGGGAATATAAACATTTACAAATTTTTTGAAAAGCTGAAAGCAAAAACCGCTTAAAAGTAAAACAATTTAAATTTTAATTTCCCCTGCAAAATATATATATATATATATATATATATATATATATATATATATATATATATATATTAAAATAATAAGAAAGAACAGTAAGATTTACAATCCAGTGTTCTTAGTAATTATTTTTATTTAAAAAAAAAACAGTGCTTGATACAAAATAGTAGAGCATAATATTGTAATTATTTTCTATTTTAAAAATATGGTTCCATCGCTACACAGGAATTACCATGTTTCAAAATATTAAAATCCTGAATAAACCCCCATGCCAGAATAGTATTAATAAAAACCCTACACTTAAATTAGACAAAAAATAGTGTAAAATTATGTCATTGTAGAAACCCAGAAGATTGCCCATTGGAAAATAAATGCCGCCTAAAATCTGTGATATACCAATGTACTATCTCATTCATTGAGAGTCCTAATACTAATATGATATACATTGGGTCTACTAAGAATGAATTTAAAACCAGATGCTCTTTCAGCAATATAAATAAAAGAAATCAGGCATCTCTATCTAAATATTTTTGGCATTTGAAGGAAATGAATAAAACACCTAAAGTTAAATGGAAAATTATAAACAAAACTAGAACTTGTAAAACTTGGGATGATCCATGCTCTTTATGCCTACATGAAAAGCTATACATTATTAAGTTTCTAAATAATAAAAATCTATTAAACAATAGACATGAGTTAACGGTTTTTTGCCGACATCATCAAATTTTCGCATTGAATAATTAGCATAAAAACAAACAAATAATAAAATAATTTTTAAAGTCCATAGTCTAAATAAATAGTTTAAATGCCCTACGAAAAAAAAAATTACCCTTTATGAAGTCGTCAAAAAAACAAATGTTAGCGAATTATGACAGTTTTTTTTTATATACACAAAACCCTTTCAGAAAAAAATAAAAAATAAAATAAAAAATAAATAAATCTCCATAGACACTTAAACCAGACTAGATGATGTCATCTTCCGCTTTAAATTTAGACACCCCAACCTTACCCTGACTTGACGTCTTTGAATTTAACTGTGATATTGATACAAATTATTAACCCTTACGCCTCTTTTCTTTAAACAATTGCTCTAGCCGTTACCACAGTAATTTTAATTTTTAATAATGAATATGCTTATAAAACGCGTAAATTTCAGAAATTAGTTATTCAACAAAAAAAAATTCGCTTGAAGATGAAACAGAACTTGGTACTTTAATTCAAATTAATTCAAATAATTATATTGAAGTTTTCGGCTCTTGTTTTGAAACATAAGAACTCTTATGTAGCGATGGAATCATATTTTTAAATAAATAATTACATATATATATATATATTGATAATATTAGTGGTAAATATACAAATACATATGCAATCATATATCTAAAAGATATAAATATATATACATACATACATACATACACATACATATATATTTGTATAAAAAATTATTTTAAGAGGATAGAATTCAGGTAGAACTCAAATGTCCAGGACAGAGTAAGGATATAATAAAAAGGCTTAAACACTAATATTCCATGGTCATAATTTATTTCATTGGAACCGTAAATACGATCCAATTCATCAGACCTACAAATTCAAAAAGAAAACAGAAAAAAGAACTCCGGGAATAAAAAAATAAAATTTAGTGAGAGTGTATGTATGAGAGTGTGGGACGAATGTTAGAGTAAATGACAGCTATAGAGAGGGGTAACAGACGAGAGAAGAACAGATGAAGAACAGGAAGGTCTAAAGATGAAGTGGGGGGATTAAAATTTAACATAGAGAAGTTTTAAAGAGGGGAGTCAAAGACGGTTTAAGTGAGAGAAATATGAATGTTGTCGGATGTCTAATACATTAAAGACGTAACCGGAAAGGATACATTTTGTGGTGACATACACACACAATAGACGAAAAGAAAAGAAAAGAAAAAGGGGTGGGGGAGAGAGATGGGGCGAAGGGAACTAATACCATTCACACACATATGTATATATAGAACAATATTAATGAATAATTGTGGAACAGGAGTGTTATTTTTTATAACAAACTTACTGTCAGGTAGTGAATATGAAAAAACTCTCAAGGAGATAGATTTAATATGCCAGTAAAAACAATTTGCGAAAAATAATATGCACTCTTCCGCTTTTTTCTTGATTCACTACATTCATTTCTTCGGAAATCCCCTTGGGGGATGCTATCAATACATCCCTTCGTCTATCTATGGGTTAAATAGTAAGATAGACAGAAGCCTTTAAACTTGATTGCCAACAAGTTTAGGAGAAAACCAATTATAAATTCAAAACCTTATGAGGGTCGTTTATACACAAACCCTTCATCACTAAAATCAAATCATATGTGTGATGAGCCTGGATGTTCGATTCTAATAATTAAGCTGCTGGTTCCTCATACGACGAAGTTGATAGAGTCAGTATACTGATCTAGTAAGTGCATCTTAGTTGCGACACAAGGCCGAAAACGTGGGGTGCCCAGTGAGGATCGAACTCACTATTCAGTCATAATTGATCTAGCGAAACAAGCTTGCTAACCATTGCACCACACCTAAGTGCCCAAATCAATCATCATATGTACACAATGTGAGTGGTTGTGAGGAAGTATTTATAATTGATATATACATTTTTTTTTAAATAATTCCATCCCAAGGAAGGCGATAATGCCACTAAGACACAAGGGGTTACTGGGAGTGAAAGAAAATGAGAAAACTTTAAAAGAAGAAGCTGGTAACACAATTCTAAACAGGAAACAAGAAAATATATATCTGTTTGCATGTCTGTAAGTCTGTGTATATATTTCAAATTGTTAGAAGAGATCCCGAAACAAAAGAAATGTTAACGATTATAAACTTATCTATTGTGACAGCCATATTGTTCAGAAGTAATTGAAGTCCACTGCAGGGGAATTCAGAAGATCATTGGGCCTGTGACGTTCGTCTTACGTCATGCACATCTTGAAGTATTTCATCCAACTGTTCATGACGTTGGTCTTACGTCATAGTTGCTCGCACGGTTGATGAACTCCATGGACATTGAATAAAGCCCTGTTTCGACATAAACGCTGTGAAACATTGCTTGAAATTCTGTTGAACTTATAAATTGTTGATTCTTTGAAG